AGCAGTGAGGGCGGCCGCTCGCTCCCCTCTCTTTCCCCGCCCCCGAGGGCTGGAGCGCTTGATGATTGGGCGGCGCGTTTATCCTCGCGGCCACTGATTGGCTGCGGGCGGTGCTGCCCTCCTGAGGGAGTTCGAACGAGGCGGGAAGCGGTGGAAGGAGCGGAGCGGCCGGTGGGCGAGCGGCGGCGCGGGCGCTGGGCACCGGCCTCGGCCTCGGCCACCAGCCTCGGTCTGCGGCACCAGAGCGGGAGGAGCGGCCCCAGTGCCTCGGGTAACGACGCGGCAGGCCGCGGCTGCGCTGGGCCTCCTGTGGGAGCCGGCTTCCCCTCGGCTCCGGGCTCGGCCTTCCCGCCTGCAGCGAGGCCCGTCTCCCCCAGGGCCTGCGTTTCTCTCTCCTTTCCTCACGGGCTTTTATCCGCCAGCATGTCGGTCAATCCCATGGCCTACGAAGCGCAGTTCTTTGGCTTCACCCCACAGACGTGCATGCTGCGCATCTACATCGCGTTCCAGGACTACCTCTTCGAAATGATGCTGGTGGTTGAGAGCGTCATCCTGAAGAAGCTGGACGGGTTTCCCGGCTGTAAAATCAGCCCCTTCCAAATCCGGAAAAGCACGGAGAAATTTCTTCTCTTCATGAAGGAGCACTTTGATAAACTTTTCAGTAAAATGGAAGAAGTGCTTCTGCAGCTGGTGTTAAACATCCCTAAGAACGTGCTCCTTCCCGAGGATAAGGTCCACGAGCAGTACCCCTACACCAAAGAACAGTTCCAGGCGCTTCAGGACGAGATCCATCAGCTGCAGAAGCAGTACAGGGCTGAGGCGTCTGCTGGGCAGGCACTGCGAGCAGAACTGGAAGAACAGAAGGCTGTTCGGGCTGAGCTTGAGAAGATTTTGCAATGGTTTGATGGGCTTGAGAATATCTGCAGGGAGCACGGGACCGGCAACTTCAAAGAAAGCTTTGCATTCTTGACACGGAACTCTAAGAAGCTGCAAGATGTGCTGAAAGATGTTGAAGAGAAGAGCAAAAAAATAAAGAAGCATGATCAGTTATTGTAATGGAAATTCTGAAAAGGCAACAAAAATCATTTAGACAGCTTGCTTAAAATGATAGGGGCTTATCTTTCCAGAAGCATCTCCCCTAATCCCTTACTCCTCTAATCCTGCCGGGATCTAGACTAAAAGCTGTTGAACGGTGTCAGTTTGCACCTATTTAGCACCTCCCTAGGGAAGCAGGGAGAGGAAAAAGCCTGTAGAATGTAACTCTAGAACTGGTGATTGGGAATAAATTTTGGGTTGGATAACCTGGCTGCGAATGTACCTTCCTGACCTCAGGAACGTTAACTTTGAACACAACGTACCATTTGTTTATTTTAAGGATTGTTTTTAAAAAAAAAAAAAAAAAGAAAGAATGCCTAAGTAAGACCTGTAAGGATGTCGAAGTGAATTTCCAGACTGATACCGGTTCAGAGTCGGTGTTTCTGTCGGTGAGGACATCGGAACTTCGCACCAGCTTCCCGAAGGAGCTGCGTTGCACAGACAGTGTCTTGTTAAGGCTGAGGCGCCGTCTACTGTGTTTTAAAAGCCAACAGCTAGGAAGTCAATAGGGAAGAGTGAGGCAGTCATGCTGTTGCGGAGGCTCTGATGAGAAACAGATCTCTTCGTGTCGGTACTGAATTTCAACTCAGTTCCTGAAATTTCAGGGTTACTTACCACTTCACCTACGTTTGCAAAGCGGTAGCTTGTGTTTCCTTTAAGCAAGGACGGCGTGCTGCTCCATAGACCGAAGATCTAGAAGCCGCTGGAGGAAATGAGCAACTTGGTCACTTTTTCCTACTTTAGCTTCTGTTGCTTTATACATATAGTTTGTTTGTTTTTATTTTTGCTGTCCAGTGCCCTTCTTCTACTAAATAGCAAAGTTCATTTTAGTCATGTTTAATCAGGTTTTCCTGTACAAATGTTGTGAAGATTGGCTGACACGCTTGAGTTCTTTGGAGTCACTTAACTAAGCTTATTCTGTCTGTACTTGCTTCAAAATACATTACAGTCTCTGTGCCTCTTTCCGTTGGCACGGAGGTTTTGAATCTCCTGTACAGGCGTATCATGAGATATCAATACTAATTTCTACTTTACTAGCATAGATGTTTGAAAGACATTAAACTTGTGAATAACTTAGAAGCTACTGCAATAAAAAAAAGGTATTGAAAGCATAAAATACACTTTGCAATTCTTTCTTCCCCGGCTTCTGAAGACTTCCTACAGAATCAGCTCGGCAAACCCCGTACCTTTAAACATACATCGCCCTGATGTGCGGCTGGAGACCCGTGAGACTCAGCGGCCACTCTTGGAATCCTCACAGAGGAAATTAATTTCTGATGTTGAGCTCTAGACTTCTGTGGTGAGTGTTGGCCTATGTGGAGGCTGGAGTTCAGAGGCGGGAGAAATAGGGAATCGGGTAAAAATTAAGTTGCTCATTTAGGAAACAACTTAGCGACTTAAAAGTTATCTAATATTCTCTAACTTGAAGTTTGAAGACTAGAAAAATGTCATGATTAATGCAATGTCCGCTGTAGATAATCTTGCTGAAAAAGCATGTCTTCATTTTACACCATTACCATCAGTTTTGTTGCAGAGATCAAGCAGCCACTGGTCTGTAAATGGAATGCAGATATGTAGGTATTGTTTTCATTTCATGTTAAATTGTAAAGAATAACATTTGAAAAACCTACTAAGAAACAAAGGTGATAACTTGAACCCAAAGAGCCCGTGAACGGTTCCACAAGAGAAGAACTACAAGCAAGAATTCGACAACGGGGGATGAAACAATCTATTGCTGCCTGTTCTTCAGGGCCCATGCCAGGGTGATTGCTGTCCAAATCTCGTAATGCCACGACACAGTCATTGAAGTCCTCAGAATTATTAGTGTCTTGTCTTAGAAATAGAGGAGGAAAAAATGGACATGAGGAAAAATTTCTTTACTGAAAGAGTGGTTAAACATTGGAACAGGCTGCCCAGGGAAGTGGTTGAGTCCCCATCCCTGGAGGTATTTAAAAGACGTGTAGATGAGGCGCTTAGGGACATGGTTTAGTGGGCATGGGGGTGTTGGGTCGACGGTTGGACTCGATGATCTTAGAGGTCTTTTCCAACCTTAATGGTTCTATGGTGTGAAAGATAATACTGGTGTATCTGAAACCTTCTACTTTTGTCTGCAGTCCTGAATGAAGGCATTGCCGCACACGGAGGGGGAATGTCCTGAATGTGAGGGTCTTCTCATAGATTCACGCAACGGTTCAGCATCTGCCCAGCTCGGGTTTGCGTCGCTGTGGGCTGCACTGGTGGTTTAAAGGTTGACCTGGCTTCTCTTGTTGAATTAGATCTTTTAAGGTATTTGTTTCTGAAAAAGGGGTTGGATTTTTTTTGCGAGTGAGTAAATCATTAATATGAATGCGTAAGACAGCCATTTACAGCTAATAGAGGTTCTCAACAGGAGGTTTATTACACCGGCCTCTTTGTTTAGGCTTCTCTTCAGAGATTAAATGCGGGTGGTCTGATGACAAAACCATTTAGCTGAAATAAATGACATATGGAGAAGAGCAGACCTGTGAAGAAAAAAAAGGAACTTGGCCATGACCCCTCTGGAGAAACCGGCTTCTTAAATTCAACTGCTATTAAAAGCCCATAAACTAATTTCTCCTCTTCATTTTTGTTCATAAAATCACTTTAACTGCAGGGGAGGGGTGCAGGATACACAGTGAAGGCTTTGCCAAATATAGTCCTTCCCAAAGAGTAATAAACAGTCTCACCAGGAGATCCAGCGTATTCCAGTAACATACGAGGTAGCAGTATATTGAAGAACAGTTGCTTTGTGAGAGGGAATAATGCTATTTTTTTTTTAAATGCTCACCTATGAAATGCAAATAAGCATTGAAAGTCCTTTTTTAATAACATTTTCAGTAAAACAGTGAATGAAATGGATATCCACAGGAGTTGTAGCGGCGAGGGAGTGACGCTCATGGGAGCTCCCCTTACCTAATGCCAACGTTATTGTATGAAACTGAAAATAGTGTCACAGGGCAAAATTAGCAACAAGGCTCAAGTAGCACCAACGAAGCGAAATCGCTGAGCCCCATCGCTGAAACCAGGGCAGGAGCCCGCCCTGAGCTCCCGAAACGCTGC